CTTTGAGTTTTTCAGATAACAATCAAGGGATTCTAAATCATGTCATACAGAAATGCTGACCAGTTATGGGCTACAGCAGAAATAAGTGAGTAAACTGAGTTATATAACATATAACATATATATGACATGAAGAACAGTTCAACTAAAATTGTAGTAAGGTTAAGTCAAGATTATTACCATATGGAACAAAAGTGCAATAATTAGGGGAAAAGAAGAGAAGGAAATGTTTTAAAAATGACTCTGGAAATGTTTATACAAATCATGTCTATGGTAAGTTGATTGACTGGATAAATTACTGTTTTTGAATACACAGTTCCAGATTTGACATATGGATTTCTACAGCCTCTTCAGTTCGGTGAAGTTTAATTCGTCAGCCTCTGCATGATTTCCGCGTACTCAATATACAACTCTAAAGTTTACTTAAGAGTTCCAAAATATGGCGAAAATATTCCTTCAGACATCGATAAAAAACAAAATAACTGAGCTAAAAATATCCTTGCCGATAATTTCCTATTCTGGCTCTACAATTATTTATATGTATATATGTTTATATACATAGAATATTCTAGATTGGTAGTCAATAACAATATTGACATTTTTCAAATACTATCGACTTCTTAAATAAGATCAATGGAATTACAGTTCATTACAGATGCATAAATTACAATAATAATAACAATAAAAATATAAAACAATTAGTTCCCTTTATGAATTTAGATAAAGCAATAAGAAGACGTAATTTGTCTGAATCGTGTAATGTATTTGCGCAACACATTTCGAACAATCTGATCACACACGGACTTGTCATAGGAATATATATAAAATTAATAAAGAGGTAAGAGGTGAGAAAAATAGACTTAGGTCAAGTTAAAAGGACATATTCAAGGTCAAAAAATAAAAATGAAGACCACTAAACCAAATAGCAGAGGTAATAGTACATCTGCTATGGTATCAAAACAAAATTTACCAAGGAAGGTTTAATGTGATGACAAATTGTTTTTGAACGCATAAAGGTGGCTTGAACTTTCTAATTGCTAGGGCTTCTACAAACTTTAGGATACGCCCCAAACACGTTTTATAGATAGGTTTAAAAGATCTGTTAACATCAATTTTATGACCTGTCTCTATAATATGTTTCGCAATAGAAGAGCTAGGTCTCCTGTTCTCACCGTTAATAGGTTCTGATGATTCCATTTGTTTCTGGAGCCATTTTGGAATATGCTCTGAAGCCCTTACTTGCAGAGATCGATGAGTCCTCCCTATGTATGTGTGTCCACACGTACATTCAAATTGGTAAATACAGTGGGATGTGACGTCATTTTTCGCATGTTCGAAGGGCTTAGATAGATATAATGGCTTTACATTCTCTAATATTATGATATTAGCTGCATAAAAAGTCTTTTTAACAGCAGCGTTCAGCCTTTGTCTAGTTATCAAGCTGCTTTGATGTCCCATATAGGGTAGCTTGATGTACACGTCTTTCTTAGGGGCGAGTTGGAGAGTGGGTCTTGGTGTTCTGACTACTTTATATCTCCTGATGAACTTTTCTGGATAATTGTTATCAACCAGAGTTTGTGTCAATATTCTTTCTTCTTCATCAAGCGTGTCTTCAGTGCATATTCGTCGGATTCTACTGAAGAGGCACCTTACTAAGCCTCTTTTGTACCGAATAGGGCAGAAACTGTGGTAATTAAGATACTGTCCTGTCCAGGTAGGTTTTCTATAAATAGATCTTTTTATTGACCCATCAAGCCGTCGACTAAGCAATATGTCTAGGAAAGATAAACAATTATCTTCCTCTTCTACAGATGTAAGTGATATGCTATTCTGAACTTCATTCATTCGATTTAAAATTGAGGTGGCAGAACAAGGCTTATCACTGATGACTACGATATCATCTACATACCTTCTATAAAGTGGCACATTTTCGATTAAATCTTCCGATAAATTCTCAATGTACGACATATAAATATCTGCTAAAAGGGGCCCTAACGGACTGCCCATAGCAACACCATCAACTTGGCGGAAACAGTCGCCTTCAAATGTAAACCTAACATTGTTAGTACATAGAAGTAATAAATCTTTTAAGTAAGATATAGGGAACGGGATGAAAAAATTGTTTGTGGAAATATAATCACACAAAATGTCAACTGTTTTGATCAAAGGCACATTAGTGAATAACGAGTTTACATCAAAAGAGTACATATTCTTGTTCATTATATTAATATTACTATCATCAAGAACATCAACCAATTCAAATGTATCTTTTAACACATACTTACAGAATTGTGTTTTGACTGGATTCAATAATTCCACTAACCATTTAGCAAGTTTATGCGTTGGGGATTTGCACATTGACAATATAGGACGTAGAGGATTATTGGGTTTATGTATTTTCGGCAACCCATACATATGTGGGAATTTACAATCTGACGGTTTTAATGAGTCAAGTTTATCTTTACTTATAGCATTTAGGCCATGAAGCTTCAGTAGATTAGCTGTCACTGTGCCCTGCAACAACTGAATATCTTCTGAGGAGGGATCACGACTAAATTTGCTCTTATCATCAAGAATAGACATCATTTTAGATTTGTAGTCACTTTTATTCATAATGACGACTCCAGAACCTTTATCAGGTTTAGTAATAATTATATTAGAATTTTCCCGTAGCTCTTTCAAGGCTTTGAAATGTTGGGAATTTAAAATACTCTTCTCCTTTGGGTTGTTGTTTAAAAACTGGTGAGCTATATCCACCATCTTGGCCTTAAACCAACCCCGATCTTCATCGGATGTTGCGGTAAGAGGTTTGAGTTGGTCATATAAGTTTTCAAACTCAGCATGGATGGCTAAATCCGTAAATTGCGTGCGAGGAACACAAAATTTGAGTCCAAGGGATAAAGCTTCTTTCTGATGAGTAGATAGAGTAATATCAGAAAGATTTGTAACGTACTTATCAGGATTCACCGGGAAGACATCTACGCGGTTTCGATCATCGATTGAACTCTTCAATTTATTTTGTATATTCGTCTTCGTTTTCTGAGTAACGTCTTTACAAAACTGAAGAAATTTCATGTGGCATATTATTGATAATTCAGATAAAATAAGCGACGCATCGGTATGAAGAACAAGTAGTCCTTGTAAGGTTTGTTTAACATTTTCGACATGTGACAATTTGTCATCACATTAAACCTTCTTTGGTAAATTTTGTTTTGATACCATAGCAGATGTACTATTACCTCTGCTATTTGGTTTAGTGGTCTTCATTTTTATTTTTTGACCTTGAATATGTCCTTTTAACTTGACCTAAGTTTATTTTTCTCACCTCTTACCTCTTTATTAATTTCACATATATTCCTATGACAAGTCCGTGTGTGATCAGATTGTTCGAAATGTATTGCGCAAATATATGCACATTACACACGATTCAGACAAATTACGTCTTCTTATTGCTTTATCTAAATAAAAATATTATGACAAATAGAATGTCAAATAAATTAAGGAAATTTCTACAAAAAATTGAGGATCATTGAAACCTAGATGACCAAGGTAAGGACAATGTATGAACCAACTTCTTCTTTTGGACAAATAAATTAGGCTTCTTAATATGGAACCCAGCGGCTATGAATGGATTTTGTTTGTACTTTACTGAACCATTATGCAGGGTAATGTTCAGAAATCCGACGAGAAACACGCCTAATTGTACAGTCTAGGTAGCTGACTCCAGAGGAGCAGTTTCTCGTCGGATTTCTGAACATCATCCTGTAAAGTAGTTAAGTAAAGGACAAACAAAATCTTTTCGTAGCGCCATTCTATCTTATCTTGTGGATACAGAACACAAGATCTATGTCAGTTAGGCTTTCAAAGTCATCTACCTCACACCAACCAACTAATCTTAACTTCATCTTAAGAGTTCGTCTACTACATATTACTGAGGCAGACTGTTGAGATCCACATTGAGAAACCTGACTTATGTATCCAAAAGCAGCTGGTTCAGATATTGTCCTTACCTTGGCCATCTAGGTTCTGATGATCCTCAATTTGTTGTAGAAATTCCCTTAATTTTATTTTATATTCTATTTGCTATTATATTTCTATTATTGTTATTATAACTTATGCATCTGTAATTAACTGTAAATCCATTGGTCTTATTTAACAAGTCGATAGAGTGTTTAAAAAACTCCAATATTCCTATTGATTATTACTATTCTAGGATATTCTATGTATATAAACAAACATATAATTATAAAGCCAGAAGAGGAAATTATCAAAAAGGATATTCCTTGCTAAATGATTTTATTTTTTACAGTTCCGAAACAGCATAGTGATTTTATACTCATGTGTTGTACATAAAACAATACAACATATTGTAAATGTCTTTCGTCAATCAGTAATACTGGCCATGCTTACCAAGCTGATGTGAACGCTTGGTAGCTATTTCATGGAATAAAGTATGACCCATTAGCTATGAATCAGAATTACTTCACCTTATAAAGCTTAATTGTTAGAGCAATATTGAGCCCAATTAACTACTCAGGAAGTGTCTGAGCTCAGGAAGAAATTAAATATATGCGAAAATCCATAGTCCAAAGTGAAGTGTCACTGCCACTTGTTTTAATTCGCTAAAACTCTTCACACTATATGACATGCTTTATAGGATAACTAAAGCTGAAATTTTAACCACAGAAGGAAGAACCATTGGATCGGGTCTCATTGGCTCAAAGGTCCACGAGCTAGCTCGCCTTGTAACCAGAAGGTGGTCCTGGATTCGAACCGCCTGTGGTGGGTGCGTACTGATGAGGAGTCCCAAACTAGGATGAAACAGCTGTCTAGTACTCCAGTGCTGGTTTTCCAATGGTTCTCTAACTGATGTCAGCTCATGATTAAATCCTCCATGCTAACATATAAATGGCTTTAGTTTTTGTATTTCGCATTCTTATTCTTATTATTATCACTACTACTACTACTATGAATATCATTCATGAACATATTTTGTATTACAGAAACATGTGATACCGATGAACAGGTAAACCACCAGAAAAAGCGTCCATGTGATTATATCGTGCGAACAAGTTATGTAGCAAATAATTCAACAAATTTATCCAACGAATCACTTCAAGAAATCACTCCAAACAGTCCAATAAGTACAAATGATACTACTCATTCACCTAAAAAGTATAAATTGTTTCCATCACTGAGTTTATTAAATCCAAAAGTTCCAAAATTATGCAAATCAGGAAAATTCCGTGTTAATCTTATCCTACGCTTACGTAGTATATGGTCACGTTCACGATCTCAATCACATCGACAGAAATCAAAACACAATACAAACAATCAACACCCAGTCAGCATCATCACCACCATCACAGTCATCATCACCAACACCACAATCACAACCACAACAACAGCAATCATTATTTGAACTATCAATATCCATATCCTACTCATCAGCATTACAATAACAAACCAATAAACAATAAAACTTCCTGTGATTCCTTGAGATCAAAAAATACATCTCCACATGTTGACAACACTAACAATCCACCTATAAGTGATACAAGAGTAGTCGAACTTAAGAAAGACAAATCTATACCACATGTGAAATTCAAAATTTCAGATAATTGTCAGACGTTGATATCAAGACATTGTCATTCCGACTATTGTTTACTACGATCTAATCATTTCCGAAAGTGTCCTCATATTTACAATGATCTCCCTTATGATCATCGTCATCACCATAACCATCATCATCAACAACGATATCAACCCGAATTGGACGTATTCGGCAATGAACAAACCAATCTAAACAGAATATCAGACGACCTACATCATCTTAACTTTTATTACTCTAATCATCGCTCTTTATCTACAGGGAATATATGTTGTCTTTATTCATTAAGATGTGTACCATCAGTTGAGTGTATAGCATCCCCTATGTCATCATCTTGCTTTCAAGGACCCCATCAACAGCACAAAGACGACTTCACAGAGAACAAAGACTCCAATACAGTGATAACTTCAATTATGGTGAATAAAGGAAATCCTTCAAAGTTAATTTCACCATTTGAAAAGCTTAAATATCATCCATGCTATCGAGATAATGACAAAAATCTAGGCAAATGGATTCAAAAAATGTTAGCACACAGTTCTGATGACAGTTCGGATAGCCCTGATACCAGTAAGGATGAAGAGAAGAATCAAGATGAGGCTATGCATATTGGTAGTAGTGGTGGTAGTAATTTTCATCAAAGAAGACATTCTGACACCTTGAAACATGTACATTTTGCTGATGAATCAACCTGTTCATCATCAGTGACCACATTGAACTCTTTGTCAAGATCATCATCCCTCTCCTCAATGAATTTTACTAATAATTTGCTTTCACAACCGTGTTGTTCAGTTGTTTCTTGTCGTTGTCATGTCGGCGATAAATTCTTATCAGGAACAACATCAATTTCCAAAGATTCTTTATTTTATAATCTTAAGCGTAAACGTGGAACAAAGCGAAATCTAACAAATTATGATAATGTCTTTGACGAAAACCTCAGTAAACATAAAGATATGTTGGATGACCGACAATTGACAAGGCATAATGATAGAGAAACACCTTTAGTAACAGTGAATCTATTTCGTAATACCTCGGAACCACCTGAAGTACCTCCATATGTTTTCGACCATCTAAATACAGGAAAGGTGAGTTAATTTAAATGTATTTAACTTCTACACGTTTTATTTCTTGCGTCACATAAATCGGAATAAATAGTACCAATAGTAGTGTCAATATGTAACGACAGAAGACAAGGGTCAGTCAACAAATCGTTTATTGAGAAAATCAATAGATATTTATAGATTTTTGTGTATATTATTATTATTAGAGTTATTGTTAGCAGAGAAGCAACGTCATCTGATTGGTTGTTTTCCTGCTGATAGTTATTCTGTCATCTTTTCGTGACCGTTTCTTTAATGGTCAGACCATATATCTGCGAATTGTATCTGCCGACGCAAAGTCTTTGTTCTTGTTTTTCTCATGACCAAGATTGGGACGCAAACATTCATGTGAATTGGTGTCTACCAATACTGGCTAGCAGACAGCTCTCACCACAAATAAACATCAAACTCACTTATGGAAGTTCTTCAACCTAAACCAATTCTAGCATCTGAAACTGAGGCGTTCAGTGTTCCCCAGTGTACTACTTTAGTTGCATGTTAAAGTGTACACGTATAAAAGTGTGGATGAATTCAAACCAATTTTTATTGTTATTTTAGACTGTTTCATCAATTAATTATAAGCAAATCTGTAACGACCAAAGCGGACATGTTGTGGTCTGAAATTAGAAGCGGGGGGTGGCGATCTTTGGGTTCACTTGTATTGCTGGCCAGAACTTCCTTAACTTACGCATAGTAAAAAATGTCCCGATGATATTAAAGGGACACTTATTTGGAGATAAAATCTCAGGTACTATCCGGCAATCATATTATGTCAAAACACTAAATTACCTCAACTGTGCCGTCAGGCAGCTATTGTTTCTCATGTAGAACACATTTACAACATAAAAGAACTACTACATCAAATCAACCGTATGGAGAGTACCTGAGAATCACATGGAATATTCCTAATAAGATGCGATCAAAACTCCCTCCAGGAGAATAGCACATATCAACAATTACCCACCCAACACACTGTCAATGTATCCCACAAGGGATAAAGAGAAGCATTGAGATTAGAGATCAAATGGGAATAAATGCAAATACTATCGATGAAGTCAGCAAATCATATGCGAGTATCAGAAGAATGATATAGAGTCTGGAAGAAAGAGGGATTACAGTTACTAAATTAGTTGAAACAACCAGCTTAGTTCTAGTATTATGATTGCCTGACGGCGCCGTTGAGGTAATTTTGTGTTTTTATATAATTATGATTGCTGAACAGAACGGTAGATTTTATTGCTAAATACCTGTCTTTTTACTATCATCGGGATATTTTGTACTATGCGTAAGTCGGGAAGGTTCTGGTTGGCTATACAACAGAACTCATGAATTTACCCAAAGAATGTTCTTTGCTCAATAATGCGTCTTTTAAACTGATAAATCGGGATCTTCAGTCAATATATCTTAGGATTTACTAGTCTATCATATAAGAGTCAGATAAAGTCATAAATAAAAGCTACATCAGGTGACATTTCATGAATAATGCAGTCGTACAGGTGGCAGTCAGTTCGTTTTGATCGTATAGTCAATTTGAAACACCAAACAAGGCGGTGAATTAAAATAAACTCTTGAATAATAGGCTGAGCAATAATCAGGTAAATAATAACAATAATAAGTCATCGGCTGGAATACAGTTAACACTCCTACTCCTAGATAAAATCAGCGAATTTAATCAAACAACGTCACAGGAAAACGTCTATTCACTGAATGTACTTTATTCCTCTAAGTTCTAATGTGAAGTTTTCGTAAGACAGCTAGAGTTAATAAGAGTTTTTGAAAAGTCTGTGGTCGAAAAAGTACATTTTTCAACATTTCTCTCCAACACAGCCCCTAACATTGAGGTCAAGTCAAAATAAATCATCTGTACATCTTATTAGATTTCTGAATAACTTAATTTTCTCTCATTTGTAACGGAATAATTGTTTGGAAAATTCTTCCTGAATGATCTGCCTAGAATGCATTGTTACTTCTTTAGGCAGTCCAACTGAATTTGTACTAATTTTCCGTTTTTCCCCTGACTGTATATGATGTCCTGACTTCATCCATAATATTCGTCTTTGTTTCTGTTGAATCTCTAATTTCAATGTTTCCGTTCGTCCCTGTGCAATACACAGACAGTGTGTTGTATTACGATGTGATTTGGTTTGAGTGAATTGAAGTCATTTTGAAGTTGGCCTGTCTATGGGGTGGGGGTTATTGTTTATGTGTGAAATTCTTGTGGAGAGAGTTTGGTCACACCTTATTGGGAATATTCTACGTGATTCTGAGGAGTTACCTACGGTTGAATTTTGTGTAAATAATTCTCTAGTACAATGTTGGTTTTGTACTTCTAACTTTCTCCTTACGGAAAAGCTGACTGACTGCATTAGTGAGATAACTTTGCGTCTTCAATGTTATCACTAGTGAATAGAACCACATAGATCTAACCTCAAATAATCATGTTTACGGTATCTTTTGGAGCATTTTGTATCTGTTTGTATCGGATTTTAGTTTTGGTTAGCTATTACATTACCACTCAGTGATCTGTTTCATGAGAGATCAGTGCACAACGAGCTAATTTCGCTCATGATATTAGGAACGTGAAAAGTATAATTCAAGCAATAAAACAGTCATACGTCACTAGATTAATGTGAATCAGCAAAGTGCCTCAAGAAGGAATCCACATACTTTGTACTTCAATCTAAATCTCATATTGATAATTGTCAGTAAAAGACAAATTCATCGAGTGAAGAAATATTTACCTTCCATTTAGATCCTAATGAAAAAACTGACAACTTGCTTTCGTCCCTATGGCTTCTACAGGCTATTATTTTCTTAATCATTTTATTATTCTGACTGCTTCATTGTTAAATGATTATTTCGTGATCAATGAATCAGTCAGTCATTTTTCTCTCAATTATTTATCATTACTATTCCTTTGGGATCCCAGTGGAACATGTAGCTTCAACAACACATCTACACTTTCTTCTGCCTGACGCTGTCCTTTTCATCTGGACCCGCGATTGACGATTATCTCTCAACTCCTCCTCCTCCCCAACACACGAACTCCTCCATGTCAACCCTGCACTGACGACCTACCAGTCGCTTCTCACTGGTATTCCACTCCAGCAATGGTCTTTATTGTGAGTGATGTTTTTCGATCGCCTCGTCATTGATGTATGCCTGATCCATCCATCTCAAATTTTCTCATACGTATTTGCTGAGCGAACGGCTCTCGACTGCTGGTTGGTTTGTTCCCGGCTAGAGTTTCTTGTCACTAATTCTTTCGGGTCATTGGGTCTTCAGTTTGGCAGCTGTTGGTAAAAGTCTATGACTTGTAGCATTATGCAATCCACGTGTTTAATGTTTGCGACTATTTTTAACCCTCTAATTATTTTAATTATTTTCTTAGTTACTTATTAGCCCCTTGATTGCGCATTACTGGAGTTTTGCGCTTTGAACTTTCTGTTTACTGAATATCTGCCTGATGATATCGTTGCGTCCTTGATGTTACTACTGTCGAATAGAACTACATAGATCTAACCCTAAATAATCGTATTCTTGGTGTCTTTGGGGAGTTTTGTAACTGCTGCCTAACTGAAGGCATTTTTGATTAGCTATATACACAATAGGACTTAGTGATCGGTTTGCTTCACTCAGATCACAGCCAATCAGTTTTGAACGCTAGAACATGCCCTAGTTTAATTGTCACTAGAAGCTTCTATGAAAAGAAAAAACAACAAAAACAACATGATTTAAATGAATCAAAACTAGTATTCTGTTGTCATTTAAAACTACCCTTTATTTATATGCTTATGCGTGTGTGGTGTTTATTGGTGTGCGTGTAGTGTGTACAATTCTGTACGTGTCACGTTTTACATAAGACCTTTCTTCTTAAGATTTCACTTATTTACTTATCAGATGGTGGGTGACTGAAACATTCATATGATGTGTACACCGCTGGTTTTTTTTCAAATTGAACTAATTCGTAAACAAATAAAATAACTGAAAATATATATATACATACGTATGTATATAACATTTACTTCCAACTTGATACAAACAATTCCACACTTACACTGAGATTATTTAATTAATTTTTGTTGAATTAGAAAGATGCTGTTTTGTTTAAAGTGTGATAAGATCCAAGGATTCTAAATATGTATATACATATATATATGCATGGATTGTGTAGTTAACGTAAAAATTTACCGAAGGGATCGTTATAATCATATTAAGTCACTCACACAGCTTTCTTCCTTCATTTACATACATGAGTCAAACTGAATACAAATAGAATAATGTACATTCAGAAATAAAAATATGAGTGTTATTGATCAAATACAATCAGGAGGGAAATAAGCTTTTTTTTACAGTGGAATTAAGTAACTTGTTAGAATGCTATAATGTATGTGAATTGAAATAGAATTTTAAGACTATTTATCATCCATAACGGAAACCTTAGCAAGGCGTTTGGAGTAAATACAGGAGTCAGATAAGGGTACATATTATCACCAATGATATTCCTAATTGTGGTGGACTGACTAGATTATGCGTCAGACAGTGAGTGGGATGCAAGAAGACAGGGATATCTTGGACCGACGTGAACAACCTAGACGACCTGGATTTCGCGCATGGATGATTTATGTTTGATGTCACACAAAATCGAAGACTTACAAGCAAGAGAAACCGACAAACTGGTCGAAAAAGCAGCAGGTGAAGACAGGACTCCAGGTGAACACAGACAAGACGGAGGTTATGAAAATAACCAACCAACAACAACAGCAACATCCAGCGTCAATCACCATCAACGAGAGGGATTTCAAAGAGGTTACTTCATTCACATATCTAGGAAGCATTGTCTCAACTACAGACAGTAGGAACGGACGACGACGTCAAATCGAGCGAGAATCGGGAAGACGAGAAACACATTCATCAACCAACTGAAACCAATCTGGAAATCTTCGTCACTCAGTATCAACAACAAAATTCGGTCGAATTTTCAA